GTAGAAGGTCAAATCGATTCCTCCACCTAGGGTCCGCCAGATCAATTTCTGGGGCCGGAGGAGTATCTCTAGCCCATGAGAGTTTCTCAGAAACACGCCATGGGAGAGGGAAATATATTCTTGCGAGGCATCGGTCTCGCTGCTTTTGACCGGAACATAAGACCCATTCTGCCTGTTTCCCTTGTAATACCTTGTATCCAGATAGAAGGGATGCTGGCCGTAGATATTTCTGGGAAGAGTAAGTGTCAGGAGTGGAGCCAAAAGATGCGGATTCAATCGACACTCACTTGTCAATAGGAGTCCCATCATCTGAAGGGTATATGGTGAGATTAGCATCTCTCTGAAGGCGGAATTGGGTGATATGCTCCCCGAGGCCATACAGGTTATACTCCTCAGGAAGAGCCGTTACAAATTCGATAAATTGATCTTCATAAACAAGTACGGTGCCTTCTGTACTGAAGAGAGCGTCGCCTGTAGCATTTCGGATCACCTTGAAATTGAACGACGGCTCATTTGACCATGTCACAGAAAGATCGCTGTCGGAAACAGATGCATTCAAAGAAGCCTTGGGTCTAGGCACCAGATTCTCTGAAAGAAAGTACCAGGACGCATTTGTGGAGTCAACATGAGTGGGGAGAATCTGAATGTTCAATCGATCCGAATCCTGGTACTCCACAGACAGTGTCAAGGAGTCAACATCTGTGCCGTATACGTTACATGGCCTGCCCGCGAGCTGAAGACTGGCAGTGAATCCACGTGGATTGTGCTGCACTCTTGAAGCCTTGTAGCCCGGACAAACCGACTGCGCGTTGGCAGCCTGTGGATCATCGATGTTGGCAATCAGCTGCGCACCGACATCTGCGGAAGCAGGTATGGTGAACTGAGGTTGCGAAGGGGTAGTGGTGGATAAGAGCGACTGGCTCGCTCCATAAGCCAGAGGGACAAGCCAGGCTCTGGCGAGGAGATCCGTCAACTTCACCATGGCTCGCTTAAAGAGGCTCGAGGCACGGTCGCGTAATCATTGATGAGAATGGAGCAGCTATAACCTATATGTATTCAAGGAATTCTCGTGTTATTTATACATAGCTGGGCTGAGGCGACCAGATCATCACTGGAGTAGCCTCCTATTGACATGACGCTGTGCGACCGTATCTGAAGGCTCATTGCGCCGGTGAATTCCCGACGTGTAAGGGGCCAACGGAGATACATTTTTATGGATTGCGGAGAATCGGCAAAGCTAGCGAGCGAATTGAGTTCATAATGACCGAAGAAGAGGAGAGAATGGGGCAGGTAACGAGAAAGCACCTACCTGATTGAAGATATCGTTGGGCTGGTACAGCACCTTATTGTAGGCGAGGACAACTGGAGAAGCATCGACCCCAGTTGGCGGGGGAGCCTGGGGATTCTCCAACGATGATTTGTTGCACCGGAGAGACGGGAGTGGATACTGCCGAGTACCGTATTGATGCCTGAGAGGCCTGGCAGCCAGACGATCAGATGATGAGCGCACGCTGATTGGCTCTCAGCCCGATAAATCACCGAGACCCCCTCAATCCCGGCTTCGGCTCTGACGATTCTTGTGCTCCAATCCAGTTGACAATCGCGACCCGACCACTTCGCGCCTTTCCCACCTTCCCCAGAATGCTCCCGGTGAAGAATCTCAACACCGGACTTTGCGATGCTGGCTTGCTTGAAAACTAGGCGGCACTCAATCTTGATTTCAAACCTAAAATGATGGGCATTGAAGGCGGGGACGAATGAAGATGGAGTCTACTAGTGAAGACACATACCAGGGGCCCTGACTGCGAGGCATTTAATGGCTTTGATAATCATCTCATTCCTAGGTCACATATTCTCGGCTTCCCGAGTGGGATGTTGTTCACCAGTGTTACGTGAAAGCTCTTCCGGACCGTCATTAGCATGAATCCCATCGTCAGCGAGTCTCAAACTCTGTCAGCTTTTGGCATAGCAATTCACCATGACAATGCTTTGTGCAGGGGTGCTGATTCTCCGAAAGTACTCCGTAGCGCTTGGATGATATCCTTGGTCGAATGATGGATCCTTCAGGCCGACCCAGCGTCTGATAGTATGCTCACACCACCTCCGCACACAAAGGGTCGCCGGAGGGAATGGGTCGTCTGCAGGCAATATCTTTCATGATGGCTCCGTGAACCCATATCCTAGTACAGCCTACTCTTCTTTCGCTTCTGAAGGACATGACTTCGGCCTTCCGTCTGGAGTATACCTGACCCGCGTCATGGCTCGGGCGGAGGGTCCACCTGCTAAGCCAGGAAGCCATTCTGGGTCTTTTCTGGGACTAAAAGACTAGTAGCTCCAGTCGAGGTGATAGCCTCTTTGGCTCGAACAACGGGCCGAAATGAACAGGCCAGTCGTAGCAGGTTAATAGAAAGTGGCTCATACCGCGGGGTCCGGGTAGCCTGGAGTTGCCGACTTTCTCACGGTGTCGCTTCCCCGCCGCCCTTCCCCAGATTTCTTTCCTTGGTCTCCCCTCCTTTAGCAATCGCATGATTCTCGGTGACTGCTCACCTTGTGGCCATCTTGACCACCGAAACTTGTCCGGCGAGCATCACTCTTTCTCAGAATACAATGAAGTCTCCAGAGTCTCGCTCCACTGCTGTTGCTACTGCTAACTTCTGACGGGAGTCTCACACTTGTCTCCGCATACAAATGGACTCACATCCTTCCCCCACCAAGCAAAAGGCCCCCAAGCAAGCCTGCGACAACTGTCGTCGACGTAAAATCAAATGTTCGCGCGAGCTGCCCTGCGATAAGTGTCGACGCCTGCTTCTTTCTTGCTCCTACAGTGATGTGCTCCGGCGCAAAGGGCCCAAGTTTCGCACCTTATATCCGCTTGCGCCCATTCATCCACTGGTATCAAGACAACAGAATCCATATCAACATAATCCGTCACATAATCCACTGAACAAGCAATGGGCTACAGATGGAGTGGGCTATCCGTTAAGCTCACCGATGTCGCCTTCCTTTACAGTGGCAGACCCTCAATACTTACCCCATGACGCCCCTGAGCCGTTCTCTCAGCTTCCTCCGCCAGAGCTAGTCTCCTCGCCCGATTCAACCAATTCACTGTCAGATTCTAGTATGGCACTAGTGCGCCCTTATGCACGACGCCTGTCCGCTCCGGTGCTACTTGCTCATGTGAACGTTTATCTGAAGTATCTGTTCCCCATCATGCCTGTGGTCCGGAAGGAGGAGCTCCAACAAGATTGCCACCAGCCTGAACGTTTATTGCCCCAACGATATGCCTTTCTTGTCGCCCTATGCGCAGCCACACATATCCAGCTCAAGCTAGATGGCACAGCATCTGTCCCAGAACCTTCGCACCTGCAAGCCGGGATTGATGGGCATTCCTGGATGTCCGGCGAAGAGTTGCTGGCTGAAGCAGTACGCGCAAGGAAGGATTGCGATCCAGTAGATGGAATGAATATAGAAAGTCTTCTTACGTCTTTCTTCCTGTTTGCTTCGTATGGCAATCTGGACAGACAGGACCATGCCTGGTTCTACCTCTGTCAAGCAACTTCCATGGTCTTCACGCTGGCACTCCACCGGGAATCAAGTTATGTGGATCTGAGTATCGAAGAAGCCGAGGAACGGCGCAGGGTGTTCTGGCTACTGTTTGTCACAGAAAGGTAGGTGCATCCTAGGAAAGCATTTGCCAGTCTTTGACTAATCTGATATAGGGGCTACGCACTTCAACAAGCGAAACCGGTAATGCTGCGCAATTCCATCCGCAAGCCGCAAGTACTTTGCTCCGAAGATCCTATCTTAGCATACGGTTTCATCAATCTTATCAGCATCTTCGAGAAATTGACCGTCAACCTTTATGACTGGGTCTCTGCGGGAGGCATGGACGGCTCGTCCGAGATGCCCCCTACGTCTGCTATTCAATCTAGTCTCTGCAACGCGATCTCGGTCGACGGAGTTTCGGAGATTCAAAAGGTCGACATACTCATCACCCAGCAATGGCTACAGACAGTGATGTGGAAACTTTCTATGACCCGCGCCACTCAGCCTGGGTCTCGCGATGAGGCAGTCCTCCCCTTTCACCTCCCCGTCCTTGTCGGGAAAGCCGTTATGAACGTTATTGGTGCTGCATCCCAGGGAGCCGTCGACGCTCACGGCATTGGCATGGTTAGTACATCAGTTCCAACTTAGCACATGCCAATGCCATTTACTAACAACAATATAACAGGAACAAAAACTATTCGACCTGGGTTCCTCAGTCGCAGACGTGGCACGATCGCTCAATGCCAAAGCCGCGCACCGTCTTACTGAAGCGGCCGTCGATCCCCGCGAACTCCTTTGGGGCATCCTCACCACCTTATCGCGCATCCGCGGCTCTCAGTCGTACCTCTTCCCCTCATTATTGGAGCGATGCAAAGGTGCTATGGATTTCACCTCCCCCACGTCAATGGGCAATTTCCTCCCTCCATTATCCACTGCTCCCACATGGGAAGAGGAAACCGGGCTCGCCGTGGTTACTGTTCCGGAGAATTCTGACCCCCATGAACAGGAGACAGCACTAATGGAGCCACTATCGCAACTTCTTCCCACTCCACAGGTGCAATTCCCGGAAAACAATCTTTTGAACTAAGATAGGAACTACGATGATGATTATGATGCTGGCATTAATTCGAGTTTGTTACGATTTTGCTTTTGTTATGATACCATTTATCTGGACATTATGTGGCAATGTATACGGCATGAAGGTGAATTGTATGTAATAAAGCATGTATATAGGTGATGAGACTATCTATTCATTCTCGATTGTGGTCGGATTTTAGCTCAGTCACCATGCGTTTGCACTGCACTATCATGAATAATTCCCTGTATTTTTGAAGGAAAACCATCGCGCCATTATAAGCGAGTCAAAAGAAGTGCCATGGAGCTATTCAATATATATCTTTATTTCAGTCTAATTGCGCTATACAAAGCAACACACCCGGGTCCATCGAAAATAAATGTACAATTGGTATGAAAGTGTGAAGGAAAAAAAAAATGTAAGAAACCCGAGACTATGTACCTGTATCGCGCACGAATCTGATATCATCCCAAGCTAAACAATCAAGTCAAGTTTCATGATCTATGCGCCGTAAAAAAGAAGCAAAATTATAAACGTGGCTAGCGTAGAAGAGGGGGTTTGAGGGGAACGCCCCTCTTCATATATAAGTGAAGAAATCAGGGGGCGGGACATGAGATAGAACCTGTAGCTTGTCGACGCAGCACAGGTGGTTTTGAAGATGGATGAAGGCGGGGTCGGAAGGGGAATGGGAGGAATTGCAGGAATAATCGATGCGCCAAATCTAAATGCAGACAGGCGGGCGTTCTTAGGCTGCTCGCCAGATCAACTCTAGAACTTGATCACCTTTCTCCGGGTCACGGTGAACGTACCATTGACGGACGCGGTTTCCGTCAATGATAGCGTCTTCGTGCAGGTAACTAATCTTTCCCTCGTCCTTTAGGCGGAGAGGACCAAGCTCATGCAAGTATGACTCGAATACAGCACCGTTGTGGCTGTCCCACGTGAGCTCCATGCTTCTGTCGCCTGGCTTCTTCTCGCTGCTGTACTTCACCACCGAGAAGCCGTTGGTGAGAATCCAGCCATCTCCAAAGTGCCATTTCCGCAGGAGACAAGAATCACCACAGATTTCGGTAACCGCGCTGGCTTTGGCCATGTCCGCGTGGAACCAAGACTTCCAGTGATGCACTGACAGTGGCGGTTGCCGTTCCGCCTCGAAAAACCCGGACACATCGCCCATCATGTCAAGCTGGTGCAGGCGGTGGTCGATGGTCAAACGAACACTGGTGTACTGGTAGATGCAAAGAGAAATTCTGCGGTCGCCCGTCACATCCATTCTCTGGCAGTCCTCGAATACCTCCGGCCGGCTCAATTCTTGGATCAGAGGCCGGGACAAGAAGACGCCAGCGCCTCCAAATCCCATCAATCCAAACACTCCAACCTGCGGAATGCTTTCAGACAGTCCACCCACGTACATGGGCTTCGTCTCATCATACTCCTTGAGTCCTCTGACCAACTCCGGCATCGAGAGGAAGAAGGTATCGTCGTCCATGACACACGACCATTTCGTTTCGGGACGCGCATTCTTGGCCAGGTGAGGGACCAGCGAAAAGTATCGGCGCTGGTACTCTTCACTCGATTCCGATATTGAGAGATTTATTCCAAGCGCATCGGCCTTTAGCAACACCTCGTGTGCCCTCTCATCGGGCTCAACCAAGGCAAAGATGTGAGCATTTGTATAACCCGCCCAATGAGAAAACGCGTCCAAGGAGTCGTTCAGCCGTTCTATCGTCGTAGCGACACCAAAGTCGATGTGGGACGCATCCGCATGTCTAGGGGGTGTCGGGACTTGAAGCGACACCGGGTTTGGTATTAAGCAGTCCTCATGCATCAGCTCCTCCGGTAGATGAAGTTGGTCGCCATGGGGCTTTTGCGGAAATAGAGGAACTTGGAGACGTTGTGACAGCGGCAAAACGTTGCTGGGAGATTCAGAGGCGACTACTTCGCGTCGCACGTACTGGGTCAGTTTCTGGACATTTAAGCGGCGGAGAGCCTCAAAGTCCGGCTGGCAGCCAACATCGGAGGTGATGGTAATGTTGGAAACAGTTTCCGTGGTCACGCGCTGGGATTCTAGACGGGGCCAAAGGAAAATTGTGAAGCTAGTGACGATACAGCTGATGACGACAAAGCGCAGCAGCTTTCTCTTCCCCATCGATGACCGCGGCTTGTCCGCAGGTTTTGCCCACATTCTCGATTTTCCGTGTCTCTCAAGTATAATCCCCGGCAAATGGATGGCTGGAGTAGGACGAAATAATCAGTGATCGCACTAACAGTGCAAGACCATGTCGAATCTTCCGGTAAGAGGGGACAAAGGGGGGTGGTGAGTACCGGGGGAAGGAGGGGAGGGCCGGATACTGGGCGAGTAAAGGAGGGCAGATTGGCGGCGAAGAAGGGGGGGGAGAAACGTGGAGAGGGAAACCCAGAGGATAAAATGAACAGCAGACGATCTCTGGACCCCCAACGGATGAAGGAAAGAAGAACGCGGAAAGAATGACGAAGGTCAGCGGGCAAGCGACAACGTCAATGGAGCCAAGGTTGAAAGGGAAGGCTGATAGGCGATCAACGGGGCTCCAAAGCAGCACGGCGACAAGAAACACCAGAAACAAGCACTTGCACGGCTCGAAATTGGTCGGATCTGACCTGGCGGAGACCGGCGACAAGCCAGGGATCGGCCATGCCCTGGACTTTGGGAAGATGGGACGCTGGAAGCCACGGATGGAGTCTACGATGCTTGGTCGAATAAGAGCCGGTCTGGCCGTCAGGGCACACCTGCTCGGTGTCCACTGGGGGCCCTCGATCGGCCATTCAAACACGCTCTAGGAGATTTTAGTCTGATGCTTTCGTCTCCAATGTCTCCAGCGATGGACGGTGACACTCTCCCCCAGGGTTGCGTTAGGGGTCCGCCTTAGTGGTTTACCCTGTACCAGTTCCCCCATCGCCATGGTTCATGGCGCGGTCGCATTCTCGCTTCCGATGGCAAAAGACGCCGCCAGCCAGATGGTTATCATCTACGGTAGTAGCAGAACCTAACCTGACACTGTACACTACCCCTAACTTATTGGTTGGTCTGCTGTCTATTCGGTTGCACTAGGCTAGACATCCGCGGGACAGCCACCGTCGCCGCAGCAGCTGGTGGATGGCACAACCGCCCGTTGATTGACGCGCATTCCACTTGGGGGCGATGGTCCAACCGGGCAGCGGGGGCGGCGGCATTGATGACGACGGCTGCAGGCGAATCGCTTGGCAGTGCGTCTCATGATGGGCTTATCGACTTACTTATCTGGTCGGTAGTGTGTCTGTGTCGCCAGCCAGTTGCATAGTGAGAAAAAGCCCTGCTGCGGGTTGGCGAACTGACCAACAAGTGGTGCATGTGCATGTGTTCTCGTCTCGAAAGCAAAAGAAAAGGGCATCCTTCTGCCCATACAACCTCTGGCACGAGATGTCCAGAATTCCTTGATAAGTTGACTGTCGCTTTCTTTTCTAGTGACCACGCGTCGACTCCATCAGGGAATTATTCTCTTCCTTTGCGAACCACTCGCCGTCGCAGCCTTTTTCCGGCACTGCAGCCTCATGAGATTTGCTCCAGTCGCTTTAATTTCCCATAGCCAATCGCAGTGAAGCTGATGGATTTCATTATCGCTCGTCGTCGGATGAGTTCGCGAGATATGATATGTAGTCTAGCTCTTATGTCTTGGGCAGTGATAATAATAGATGTCGCCAAAGCTAATTAACACCACTAGTCAAGTATAAGCATGGGCTTATATTGCGTGCATGAATTCGTACCACCTATACACAAATTATTTGTGTGTTCTGAAGGCAGACGAATACTTTCTATCGAACCTGTGCATCTTGGTTTCATAGATTCCTATACAGTTGCTTCGTTGCCCCAGCTGAACGGCTTATCGTCAAAGGCTGTCTGCTTGTTTTGGTGTAATCTGCCCCTGCATAACCCCATGCAATGTTGCCCAGAGAAGAATAATCAAAAGCAACGCTGTGGCGCGATGAGTAAGGGGCATGAACTGTGAAGCACAACGGCCAGTAGTCTAGACCATTACTGGGACTTATTGTTGCACAACAGGGTTGACATTAGATCAGTCAAGAACCCCCCCGACAACTGCATAATTTAGTCATTTCATTTCCGCCATGAATAAAAGTCACATGACGAGCCGGGGGACTACGGGGGGCGCCCCCACCCACTTGTGCAGAGTTCCCCAATGGGGAAATATCTCGATCCCGCACACATGGCTTCCAGCGGAGGCCACTTGCCAGATCATCCTCGGCCAGTCTATACTCTCGACTTTACTACTCGCTTATTGCATATGTCCTTATTTGTGACTCGATAAATAATCCACCTCTCCTTACCTCCGAGCCCTCGTCGGGCCCCTCATCCCGTTCCGCGTTCCGCCAATTGACACACATTCCGCTATGGCTGCCCAGTCGCTGAGCTCGTTGCTACAACGGGCATCCATTGACGACCACGAGGAAGTCCTGCAGTCATGCAATGCCGCGCTAGCCAAGTCGAAGTCGGACTTGCATGCTCAGCATATCAAGGCAGTTGCTCTGCTGAAGCTTGACCGCTATGAGGACTGCCTGCGAGTATTCGAAGAAGCCGGTGATGGCTTGAAGAACAGAGCAGCTTTGGAATACGCTTATGCCCTATATAAATGTGGCCAGCTGGACCCGGCAATTGAGGTGGTATCTCGCGTCGCCGGTGAGAGGGGTGCACTGCATTTGGAAGCTCAAGCCGTACGTTATCACTTCCCAGAAAGATTACCTACTCTCGGATATCTTCTGTCATAGTCTGTCCGCTCATCCTAACTCTCATCTTTCGTAAAGAGCTACCGTTCCGAGAAATTCCGTCGCGCTGCCGAGATTTACGAAGAACTGTCGAAAGACAATGCGTCCCTGTCGAACGAAGAGAACGATTTGCGCATCAACTCGTGGGCTACGGATGCCCAGCTGCAGTGGAAGGGCCACCCCCAGTTTGTACGCCACAGCAGGCCGATGCGGGATGATCTAGAGGCGTTCGAGACGGTCTATAATGCAGCTTGCTTGAGTATCGCCAAGGGCGAGTTCCAGCAGGGACAAGTTCTATTGACTCGGGCTAAAGGTTCGTGTGGTCAACCCCGCATGGCGCACGAGAGTAGTAGCTGACCAGCTTTACACAGAGCTCTGTCGTACATCGGAGGATCTCACTCCTGAAGACCGGGCTGCCGAGCTTCTTCCGATCGCCGTGCAGCAGTTGTACGTCTTGCTTCGCCAAGGAAAGTCGGAGGAAGCGCAGTCCGTCTTGGAGGAAATTTCCGTCAGCGAGTATGTTTGTCACAGAACCCTGGCTGAACTTGAACGTGGGAAGCTCACATCACTCAATAGTATTCCCGAGCTCTCGACGAAGAAGATCGCTCAGACCAACATTACGCTTGCCCGTGGCACCACCACTACCAATCCCTTCGCTCTGTACAAGGCTCTTCATGAGATCCCCGAATCCACCGACAGCGACAAGCTCTTCGAATACCAAGATAACCTCGCGACGGGAAATTCATACTCAGCCGATCTCCTCGTTCAGAAATACGATGGCATTATCCGCTCCACCTCTAAGGCCCTCGCTCAATCTACCTACCCCTCGACGGAACCTCGTGCCAACCTACTCTCAGTCTACAACGCTGCCGCTCATGCACGGGGAGAAACAGGCACCAAGGCCCTGAAGCGGATACTATCTGCGCTCGACAGACGGCCCAAGGACCTTGGCCTTGCCCTCACAGCTGTCCAGCTCTACGTGGGTGCGGGCAACACGACGTCCGCAATCACAACACTAGAGCGAACCCTCCAACTGCTCGACGAGTCCATCTCCGAGCAAGACAAAGCAGTCCGTTTCAACCCCGGCGTCTTGAGCATCCTCGTCTCCCTCTACAAGTTGGAGGGCCGTAAAGTCCAGATCCGGACCGAACTCGCCAAAGCCGCAACCTACTGGCAAAGCCAATCCGCCGAACCACCAGCCTCCTTGCTCCGCGCCGCAGGAGCATCCCTCCTGCACTCCTCCGATCGCTCTGACCTGGCCAAAGCCGGCGACCTCTTCAAGTCCCTCTACCAGAAAGACTCGGCCGACCAGTTCGCCGTAGCCGGCTACGTCGCCTCTCAGGCAACCCTCGACTACTCCAAGGTAGAAGCACAGGTCGACAGTCTCCCCTCCGTCGCGGACCTGATCTCAGGCGTCAACGTCGCCTCTCTCGAAAACGCCGGCATCTCCCCCTCCTCCGCGGCCAACGCCGCCGCCGCCGCCGCCATGGCTGGCGCCCGGAAGAGAAGCGCAAAGGACAAGGAAGACCGCGCAACCAAGCGCGTTCGCAAGGACCGTCTGCCCAAGGACTACGACCCCAGCAAGACACCCGACCCAGAGCGCTGGCTGCCTCTCCGCGACCGGTCTTCGTACCGGCCCAAGGGCCGCAAGGGTAAGCAGCGCGCTGCGGAGCGCACACAGGGTGGTGTGGTGAACGAGAAGGCTGAAGAGTCCCCGGCTCCGCCTACTCAGAAGGCCCAGGGAGGAGGCGGTGGAGGTTCTAGCTCGAAGAAGAATAAGAAGAAGGGCAAGCGGTAGATGCAGTAGATAACCATCGCTTTTCTTTTCCTTCCTCCACCTTTATTTCTCACTTTCCCTCCGTTCTTGCATCGCATTTGCTGGCAGGATACCAATCTAGTTGTTGTTGCATGTTGCATGTTGCAGAGACGAAGCATGTGGAATGATATTTGATAGTCTCGGGTTGTAGCTAGATAGAGCACACGCTGATGAGTGAACGGCCTCAATCCTCCATCGTGAATAGCAATCTGAGCCGTATTATAATCAATGATATGCATGATACACAATAATTGTCCCTTGGATCAACTGCATCCCTTCAGACTCCGTGCCGTAATTAGAAAAACCAGCATGATGCACGAGGGTAATAATGACTGAAAGAAATCCCAGCTGGATCGACCTCCCCCTTTCATCCAGCCGAGCAATATCAAACACAATGGCAATCTTCCCAGTCTCCCCTTCACCGACCCACCCAACAGAAGAAACCAATTCAACCCAACGGAGTCCGAATAGTCCCACACTGGCGATCATACTGCTCAAAGATCGTCTGAAACAGCTTCAAATCCTGAATCGCATCCTTCGCCGTCGTTTTCACAGCCCTATCCTCAGTCAAATACGCATGCAGCGCCTTCAACTCCTCGCGATAGCTCTCCTCCCACGCACTCACCGTCTCCGACCTTTTCATGTCCCCGTTCTCATCAACAGTCTCGACAACCACCTTCACCCCGTGCCGTCGACCATACGGCAGGCCGTACTGCACGCTCACGGTCTTCGTATCGCCGTAGATGGTCAGATGCGCATCGCATCGAGGCACCGCATCGGTCCCGGTCTCGTACATCAGCGTGAACGCGTGTTCGCTCTTTCCGCCACTATAGTAGTGGAAGACGGCAGAGTAGTAGGGTTCGTTGACGGAAATGCTGGACACGGCGTCCGGATAGCCGAGGGTATCGCGCACCAGGCCTAGGTCATGACATCCCAGGGACGCGAGGAACTCGCACAGGGCGACGCGCTCTTTGCTTAGGTCTTGGCCGAGGAAGGCTTCTTCGAGGAGACCCTGGAGGAGCTGGGGACGGGTTTTTCCGGTCATGGAGTCCGAGGGGGAAGAAGGGGGTGAAATGGGGAAGGGTTGGCCGTGTCCGTTCACCTCGTTCCAGACTTGCTTGCGTGGAGCAGTGGCCGTGTGCGCGGAACTGGGGCCTGCGATGTTGCGGCACCGCGCGTAGTAGATGCGGTCGAGACTGGCGACTTCTTGTCGGAAGACGGAGGCGATGCTGGGGGCGTAGCGACGAGCGCAGGCGACGAAGACTTTGGCGCCGTTGGGGGCGTGTTTCTCGGCTTCAATGATGCGTTTGGCGCTGGGGATGCTTAGGCTTAGTGGGGTTTCGACCATGACGTGTTTGCCGGAGTGGAGGGCCGCGATGGTGTAGGTCTCGTGGTACTCGTTTGGCATGAAGTTGAGGATTAGGTCGATGGTTGGGTTGCTGAGGATGTCGTCCGGGGTGGGGACTACTGGGATGGTGGTGCTGGTGCCGTGCTGCTGCTGGTGGTGGCCATGGTCGTTGCAGATGTTGCCGTTAATGTCGGTCTCGTACGACAGGGGCTGCTTGGAGCCATCGTGGATGGCTTGGACCTGGAACGAGGTGGGAAGCGCACGGAGGGCCGGGAGGTAGATGGCTTGGATGGCTTTGGCGCCTTCGTCTGCGGTGAGGATTCCCACGCGCAGGATGGTTGGGGTTTCGGTCATCTTTTTAGTTCCTTCGAACTTTGGGTTCTGGTGAGACGCGTTATGGTGAGGTTAGTGTTTGTTTCTTCGTTTGGTAGAGAGAGAGTGATGAGAATGTATCACATACTTGTTTTGTATGTAGTAGATTAGTTGTGCTACTTGATGAACTCAATCGTCAGGGAGGGATAAGAGTGAGGATGAGCTCTGAAGATCGAGCGACGGTGAAGAAAAGAACATGGTCCGAACGTTCGAGGGATGGAATGAACGAGTCTTCCGAAGGGGGGAAGTGAGGTGAGCTGGTATGTATGTATGTATGTATGTATGAGGTGCAAAGGGGGTTCAACCGGTAATAATGATACCGACTGGGTGAGCTGCACTCGGTCCCTTGGAAGAAAGTATTCAGCAACACTGCAGTGAGGTGTTTGCGATGAAACAAGGGATAAAGAATAGCACTGGGGATGCTTTTTCAAGGGTCCTCAGGGAGAGTTTGTGCTACTGTTCTCTGAACTTGGTCGCAGGGATGTTGAAGCTTTTTTGTGTTGCACCGGCGGTGGCATGCATGACATCAGTGGCCCCCCGTGAAATCTGGTCTTTGTTGCCATCCTGCCCTGTCATCGTCTGTTCTCTGATTTTATGCTTAACGCTCTGAAATGCTCCAGAAGCTCTGATGAAAATGTTATTTTAGACTACACCAGGGGTCCTGTTGATCTGGTCTGTTCCAGCCGAGCTAGCGATGTAGCTTGTCTGGCTGCGCCGATCCGTGCGTTCTGTCTGTGTGTCCCCGATGATGCCTGAGATGAGGGTCCATCGTTGATTCGGCAAATTCCCTACCCTGCAAGCTTATTTCTGACTACTGCATGCATAGGCACCATGAAGTATGCCCCCCCAATCCCATGACAGCCGTGATTCCGAGCACGAAATAGCGAGGGTCAGCTGGGGTAGTGATGGCTTGTTGGGTTTGCTGTAAAGTCAGTCTGCAGTCATATTGAGTTATCATGTGCTGCGTTTGGTCAGCTGTGGCTGTACCAGCTACTATACATGGAGGCGCAGGTAAATATCGTATACGAACTGTTCTGCTCAAATATAGTGAGAAGAGTGCTTGTCAGCAATTCAGCCTTGCCAGGTTACCAGAATTCATCTAGCCTGATCCTTGAGGCTGGCAGGAAGAACATCAAATGGATGAAATCAGCCCTACGGAATCATCCAGAGCTTCTGGTGTGCGGGGAACGGGATGAACGATTGGCTTGGACAGACTTTGACATCAATGCATTCCTGCAGGGTTCCAACAGGCTTTAGTACAGTTGTACTTAGCTGTAGTTACCGATACATTTCCGTGAAAATCTCGGGATCACTAGAAAGATTTGTTATTATTATGCGATATTGATCGCTACGGTCAATAACTGCCGGTTGCCATCATAGAATAAGTAAGTATTAAGTGAGAGAAAGGGGGCAGCTGGGTATAGCTTCAGGACACAAACCAACAGTGGGTCTATGTGAGAGAGGAGGGAGTGGGCCAGTCGTCATCCCGAGGTCGGCTAGTCCCAGTCCAGCTGTTTTAGCACTTTAGCTCTTGCTTGGATGGATCTCTTCACGGGCAAGTGCTTTTATAGTGGCAGTGACGCCGTAGTGCCGTCGGTTTTCTGCTCTCCTTCTGACGCCATCCTTTTTCCACCCATCATCCTATCCCCCTTCTCCATTTCTCCCCGATTTATTGTTTCCCCCCCTGACTATACTTCTTTTACTTTCTACCTACTGACTACGTAGTTGGACGTCAGCTGCTTTACCAAGATGGGGGTAAGTGCCCAACATATTCTTTTTACATCTTGCTAGCTCTTTCTGCTTTTCTTCTCTGCCCCGCGTATCTGCCCCGCTTCACCTCGAGGGTTTCTGTGTTTCTTCTTTTTCTTGAGACCATACTCGACTACTACTATACTATATCTCAACACTACTATTTAGCCTTGAGCAGGCTGCATCCAGTACCACCCAACTAACCGCTGCATCCTGCACGTCCTCTCTTAGTTTGCATCCAAGATCGCCGGCAGTCAAAACCCACCACCCAACAACATGAGCGCCAACAGGCCCGGCGTTTATGGAGGCGCACCTCCGACAGGCTATGCTGGAGGCCCTCCAGCTGCACTGCAGCCTGGCAACAATCCTTCTTCTAGTGGTAATCCTGTAAGTCCCCGCCCTACCGGGCAAAACTAAATCTTTAGTGATCCCCTCCGCCCCTCTTCTCCCGTCCTTTTCTTTGAACCATCCCATTTTATCCCCGGCGTCTTTACCCAGTTCGTTTTCAATTTATCACTTTCCACAAAAAGCTGACGCATCTCTTTGCGACCACCACCAGCAACAGCAACAACCCCAGTATCAGGCTTATCAAGGCTCCCCTGCACCATCTGGTGGTCCGGTAAGCTAGAACTTGTTTTTCTCTTTTCTCGTGTCTTATTTCTTTCCTCGGATTTCTCCCCCATTTTCGCTTTCATTCGGTTGGCGCAGCCCCTCCTCACTGCTGGGTCACCCTCTCCCTCCATCGTGAGAGTTACTCTCATCGAATGAAAGAGAGCCAGGGTTCACCTCCCTCTCCACTGTGGCCCCCTTCTGCCCCTCCAACCTTCCCTTCGCGCCCGTGTCACACTTCTGCTTTTCTATTTCTTGCCCTCCTCGCCCCTTTGCTGGAAATTCTGGACGCCATCTTCAACTATGTCGCGACCTTATTATAACCAATACGGCTATCCGCCTCAGCTACGCCCGGGTTCGGCCCAGCAATCCCCATATCCGACTTCGCCGCCCCCGCAGCAGCAACAGCCTCAGTATCAAGCCTACGCGCCTTCGTCGGCCCCTCCAAACAAGCCGGTTCCCTCACCATCACCGGGTCCGCACCCAGCTTATTCGGGCTCTCAACCGTCTTACTCGGCGCCCGCTTATCCGTCGGCATCTCCGGCTCCTCAGGCTTACTCCCCATCACCCTATGGGTCTCAGGCACCACCGCCGCAGGGCTATTCGCAACCACCTCGATATGGTACCAGGGAGCCTCCATCCGGACAATATGGACAATCACAGCAAGGCTATAACCGTCCTCCGCCTCCCCCGCCACAAACTCAGCCCTATGGAGCTCCTGGACCGCAGTATCCTCCACAGCAAGCCTCTCAAGTACATACTATATCCCAGATACCCGCATTTGTTTGCCAATCATCTGCACTCGTGTTTCTCGCGTATTCGGTTAGCTTTGACTGTGGTGTGACCGACATGCTAATTTGATTCAATGGTTTAGGGCCCCTCCTACCCCCCGCAAAATGCACCTTACCCCGGCGGACCTGGTGGACCGGGAGCGCCATACGGTGCCCCGGGAGGTGCTCCTCCCGCCGCCCGCGCATCCGACCAGCAAATCGCTGCCTACAGACAGCTCTTGATCGGAACTATCCAGGAGAAACATATCCAGAGCTTCTGGCCCCCAGAGAGACTGGATCGATTGGTTCAGACGCTGGCCAACGAAGCGCCAGGAAAGGTCAACAAGCTGATGCACGAACTCCGTGTGCCCCAAGAGGTGGCTATGGACATAATGAAACTGTCTCTGTTCGACGTCATCCTCTATGTGGATGACAGCGGCTCCATCGAATTCGAAGAGCGCGGCGTCAGGAAGGAGCAGCTGGTGCAGATCATTGAGATTGTTGCTGCTGCTGCGTCTACTTTCGATGACGATGGCATTTCGGTACGGTTCATGAACAATGCGGAGCAGGGCGATGGAATCCGCAACGCAGATGATGTTGGCCGCCTTGTTTCGCGCGTCCGCTTCCAAGGCCTTACTCCCCTGGGAACCAGCTTGCGCAACAAGGTCCTTGATCCCATGGTTGTGGGCCCGGCCAGAGCAGGTCGCCTGCAAAAGCCAGTTCTTGTCATTACCATCACGGATGGGCAACCCGCCGGAGAGCCTCTTGACAGCGTCTCTAGCTCTATCGGCTACGCCGTGAGTGAGGTCGCTCGGACTCAATATGGACAGGGTGCCATTTCTTTCCAATTCTCGCAGGTGGGCAATGACACCAAGGCTCGGGATTTCCTTGCCTCGCTGGATGAAGACCCGAGAATCGGCTCGTTGATTGATTGCACTTCCAGTAAGTCCACCTACGCTAGTATCGCCCTTCGAGCATAACAGGTTGGCTGATGCTGTCAACAGACTTTGAGGTCGAACAGGATGAAATGTCACGCGCTGTGCCACCCGTGTACTTGACACGTGAACTCTGGGTATGTTCCAATTCACACATCACACTGCAATTTATTAACCTATCTAGTGCGCTAAATTGATGCTTGGGGCTATTGATTCCTCGTACGACACCAAAGATGAGAAGGCCGCTGGCAGAGCTGGTGGACCCGGTGCTCCCCCGCCTGGACCTCCTTCTGGGCCTCCCGGAGGAGCTCCCCGGGGAGGACAGTACGGTGGTGGCTACAGTCAACCCGGATATCCCCCTGCTCCCAGCTACGGTCAACCTCAGCAGGGCTACGGCGCTAACCCAGGCTACGGCCAGGGCTACGGTCAAGCCCCCTACCAGAGCCAGGGTCAGGCACCAGCACCGGGATATGGCCAGCAATACGGTGGTGGATATGGTGCACCCTCTCCTCACCCCAACCAGCCTGGATATGGACAGTCCTCTGGCGCGCCACGAGGCTACTCCCCCTACCAGGCACCCCAGCCGCCCAGGTACTGATAGACCACATTCGCTTGTCTAATGAGACGGAATTGCAAGGCAGGAGTGCCAATGTGAACTCTCTTCTTATCCTTAATGATTGTTGTTTTCTTCGGACGTTAGCAGGCAGAATCTCATAGGCGGGAGAACATGGCTGGCATGGCGGGCTAGGAGAAGGGCACGGATAGACCCAATTACACGATTAGTTTATTTGTAAAGCAAAATTGAGCAATGGAATAATGATGCTTCCGTGACCACACTCATCTGATTCTCTTCGATAATTGATTGACATGGGATTGACATGGACCAGTGTCGCGATCTTCACATTCTTCCTACCAACGACGTCATCCCTCAGCAGGCCCGCCCCGCAGCCATCACGTGCCCTCACCAATCAAGTTACACGCCGAGTAAGATGCATAGCCCACCCATTCAGGCATCCCACATCCAACATCGCCACTGTCCCGTGGCAGTTGAACGCCTTGCATGCATATGACAATAATCCATACTGGATACTTACTACAAACCCCTTCCACGAGTAACATGATCTTCCCCGAGAAGCACAATACAATACACAGCCGGCTGCCTAGTATCTTGTATCTATCTCTACCTCTTGGAAATTTTCCATATCTTCCCGAATAAGCAATGTGGTATCTATCTATCTATCTATTCAATAAGAATACATCATCATTATTCATTTGATGGTCCCATTATTCCCATTTGCTGAAATCAGCAACCAAGAAATGTATCATGACAGACAAACGGAACAGGAAGGCTACTAGGCAGCTGTTCAAACCAAGTTTCTGTTTCTATTTTCTTTATTGCCCATGGGTAATGAGCAAGCAGTCGTAGTGACAGTACGGTACTACTTAGTTTTACCGCGCGGTAATAACCTCCGCCGGCCGCTTTGTAGACTATGCCGAAGAGTGTTGTGCAGGATGGCGTGAGATCCCTGGGAACTGAAGGGAACCCGCATGATAGTAGTCCCATGGGTGGGGAGGACAGGAACAAGGAATAGAGTTTTGAGCTGTTGTTGAGTGGTTAGGTACACGTACATCTGGGGTGTTGGGGCCGTGGTTGGGGTGAGCTGAGTTCGGTTTTGTAGTTGTAGTCTGATGGATTTTCTGCTTCGGCTTAGGTTATATAGAGGGAAAGGGGAACACGGGGTTCTTCAGGAGGGTTTGACATATTTATAGAAGGAGTGAGATTGGATATAGACAACAACCTGGCAGCTTCTAATTTAGATGAAGCAATATGAACGAAATCAACAGTTGAAAGAAAGAAAAAAAGTCATGCTTCAACAAGACACCTGTGTCCCTTGGGTGCAGCTAAGAAAAAGCTGCGTAGTTCCATATCATCATCACACATCCCTTCACGACTCGACATTCTCACTTCGGGGAAAGCGCGGAAAAACAGAGCTGTGGCAAGCCGCAGTTCAATGCGGGCTAGATGAATACCAAGGCAAGCTTTACATGGTCAGCTTCATTACAATGGCATATTGTGTGATATGGTCATTCTCACTGCGAGATCCGCCCCCAAAAGGTAACGACGCATCTTCCATCTCCTTGGTAGGCGAGGTCCATCGTTCCGGGTAGAAATTGAGAGGGTTAGGAAAGAATCTCGGATCCCGATGCATACTATATGCTTGTGTAGATACTGTTGTCCCTCCAGGAAGGCTGAATCCGGCCAGGTGAGATCCCTCTTCAGGGACAGTCCTCGGCAATGCTTCCGGAACAGCTGCGTATAGTCGTAATGTCTCCTTGATAACCTGGTTTAGATAGGGTAAGCTGCGGGTATCTCGATCAGTGAAGCCATCCGGAAGCTGCTCCATCAGCTCGGAAACAAGTTTATCGCGGATGCGACAGTCTCTGCATACTGCATACACGAGGTATGTCAGGGTTACGGCGGTTGTGTCGCTGCCGGCCCCGATGAATCCGCGAGCCTCGTTGCAGATTTCCTGTTCTGATAGGCCGCCCTTGTCGCCTGCATCGATCACTTTGGTGAATAAGGTGTGCTTGGCATTTAACGGATCCTTAGCAATGAATGCTTTATGGCGTGCGACGGACTGTCGTGCATAATCATTCAATCTATTGCTTGCTTGTACCATTTTAGTAAAGATAGGCAGAGGAAGCATGGCGCCAACTTTCATCAAGAATGGGAATGTTGTCCGCATAGGCGATATTGTGCTCAGTTGCTCCAAATCAATGCTATACTGGGTTTTCTGGACAACTAATGTCAGTCCATACAATAGGCCTAGCTGGAATCATAAATCATACTTCTCCTTTCTCCAGCATGCGAAAGGATTCACCGAAGCTCAGTTCCCCAATGATATCCGTCGTCATGAATAGCCACCACTTGAACACGTCCAGCGAGCCTTTTTCTTTCAGTTCGTGTGACATCTTATTAAGAGTGTGATATATCATATCCCGGATTCGGGGCTCGAAACGGGTCAAAGATGAATCTGAAAGTGGCGGCGCGAGCAGACGTCGACGGAAAGAATGAATGAGAGGGTCGGGGGTGGAGATAATGTTCTCGAGACGAGGGGGAATGAGAAGTCTATACCAATTTGACTTATAAAAGCGAGAACCGGTCTTGTATATATCCCTTGCTGCGCGAATATCGCATATGTCAACTTCGTTGGGAGAGATGCGGACGACAGGACCTAGAGATTTGCGTTGATGCTGCACTATAAAAGTATATGGCAGTAGTACAAGGACACCCACCATATTGTTTGTGCAGTTCATCCACATAACTTGCCCTTTTGCCAGCCAACCAGTAGTAACTGACTTTCAAGTTGGTCCATCGGGATAGATATGGCCCTGGGATGTGAGACAATGGGTTTATGAGACCTTCGTAGAAATACTTCTAAATTGTGTTAGCATGAGTCGTGGTAATAGTTGGATGGTCATAGTCAACCCACTAATAGTATGAAAATGGCGAGAACGCCAATCAAACCAACTATCATATCTACGAAGCAAAATAAAAAAGGAAATAGAAAGACTATTCTCAGATGTTAGACTAGAATTCTGATGAACTTCACGTACTTTCAATTCCGTGGGCTCTCAGTATAACCGCGATTGGGGAATCGTGAGAGGGCGGGAAAGGGGCGCTATTGATATGAAGGATATCGATGTAAGGGGGTCAATGGACTCATTACTGACTCAAGGCAGTGATACACTTGCTTCTGCTGAAGACGCCAAGTGCAAGGTAGCGCTTTCCTGAATAATTGTTCCAAGCGTGGGGATTACCTGCGCCACTTCCATTCAAGGCGACGTACATGTTAATGGCGCTCGATGTGAACAAGGTTCGCCAACAATTTCCAGGCCCAGAGACCCTCTTATTATATTAGCAGTCATTCCATCAATGACATCAGCTCCGAAGCTGTCGAGTGTGAATGTCTCATTTGAGTTCATGATGATATGCTTCATATTCTCGACTTCGTTTTGTTGGAATATAAGGCCAGCCCTTATACTCCCTATGTCGACGTCGGATTGCTCATGATCAATCTTACGAAGGACACGAACACAGAACTCGATGGACTCTTTAACCTCTTTTTCGGCAATCTTTCCATTCGCGTCAACTGTTCCTTGGATAACTAGATAGTTTAGAATTAGCTAAGAACCTCCCATAAAGGACTGGTCAGTCAGATGACTTACTCGGCCGGAATATATCAAAAGCTCGATCAAAGCTGCCCTCATTGAGCTCATTAAGTACAGGACGGTCCTTGTGGGCCATTTGGCCATATGCACTGCTCACAACAAGCAAGAAGCGTGTGTAGGCCTCGCGAATTTTCTTGGAGTGCCACTCACCGGCAGCTCGCTCGCTGCACTGGCCTTTCATAGACGCGCAAATTGTAGCCGCCACAGACAGAGCCCCAAGAAGGGCAAGGTGAACGCCAGATGAGAAGAGTGGGTCAATGAAGCACCCAGCGTCCCCGACTATGCGCACATTGGTAGCCGCATAAGATGACGCATTGTACGACCAATCTGACGCGGATTTGATCTCGGAGACGAGCTCCGCATCTTGTATAAGGTCCATAATTCCAGGTGCTTCGTGCAAGCAGCCCAGAAAATAGTCTTTGGTTGATAGCGCTCCCATTGCTTGCTTTTTCGCCTTGACGCTGTTTTGGTGTCGAACAACACCTACGGAGGTTGTTCCGTTGTGAAGGGGAATCGCCCAGATCCAGCCGGATGCGTCTGCAGCATTTGATTAGTCTCCTCTTGCTTCAGCTGGCCGATGTGGAAAGCCGATATTGGTACCTTCAAGACAACTGAAGTAGGGAGACCCTTCAATAACGGTACCGACTCCATACGTTGCGGCCTTCTCGAAATATCCCCAAGTGGCCAAGTTTTTCAGCCCTTCGTTGTACCGTCGGTTTTTCAAATACTTCGTGCTCATTAAGCCGGCTCGCCCGCTTGCGTCCACCAGATATTTGAAGCGGATTCTCCCGGCACTTTTGTCTCTTCGTGTCCAAGATGCAGACTCGGGGAAGTCAGCGTTGCTGGCTGCTGATGATTCAGTCGCTCGAAACCCTAAGGAAGTGACCTTCACGCCGTCAAATGTTTGACAACCGCACTTTTCGGCATAACGAAACAATGTCTCGTCTGCCTCTGATCGTATCACATTCCAAGTATAGTTTTTAGGGCCTCCGGCCTTAATAAAATCGGTATCTATTCGCCCTTTAACAATGGCCTTGTCGGGCATTGTGTGATAACATACATCCTGATGGCTTGCTGTTGAACTTGAATGTTCCTCCTTTCTGTACAGTAATTAAATGCTCGTCCGGCGGCGGTATCTCACGATAGACTGACCTTTATGTTAAACCCATGATTTTCAAACTCGGGCAAGACATCGATGAAATTCATGAAGTGCTTCAAGGATGGCAGCATACTCTCTCCAACGTGGTATCTATAATGAGTCAGTGGAGATATAGGCCTTGGGATTTAAAGAGAGGGTGGCTTTCAGCTGGATTCCAATTGACCTTGGAAAAACATCGGCTTCCAACAATACAGTATCAATTCCTTCTCTGGCAAGCACGGAGGCAGTATATGATCCTCCTGGGCCACCGCCGACCACGAGAACCGTGCATTCCGCTGGTATGGACATAGTATTGGCTTCAAGATCAAGTATATTAACAGGGACATATACTAGAAGACGACGGGGTGTAGTGAGAATAGAATGAATTCTAGTAAGAACCGGTAATCAATCTCGTGGAGATCAGTTGAGGCATTATATCATGCAGCGATATGTGATCTTTTATACTTGAACCATGATTCTTTTTGCACTACCATGAACGATTCCTTTGCAACTTTTCCTTTCCTTTCCTGCAAGGTAGATGTAAGGGTTACTAGTCTTTGGTCACTTGTAATAGGCATGAATCATGGGATATTTCCGGAGATCCCTACGCTATACAAGGTTGCTTGTAAAGAATCGGGGAACTAGTAAATGGTATGGTTGTATGGTCAACAATATTTATAGGTGCTGAATTCTTCGTCGGTAGACAAGCTAAAGACAGTATGTCAAAGTTGATATTATGAAGTATAAAGGCTGTCTTATAACAAAATGAACTCTATATATGTCACCTCAACGGCTGCCAGTAGGTACTATATCTATGAATATGATCTTGTAATTATCTGTCTGTAGCTAAACCGTAGTTCAATGCTTCAATGAGAAAGCCGTATTAGAAGTTCATGTCTATCCTCTTCCATACATGGGTTAGAATGTCCTAGTCTACTTGGTCACGGTTTGACAGTTTGGTCATGATGCCTATCCTGTTCCCTATAGGTTTTCGGGAATGTAGATGCCTTGCGTTTGGTACTACCTGAGAATCATGAGTTTCCATGAGGCACATCTATTGTCTAATAAGGAAGCGCTCTGGGGTGTTTTGTACAACATGATGGACTTGGTGGGGGTGGGGCAGATGGGGCTAACACTGTCTTCAACCGTATGGCTCTCGAAGACTTACTTTCTCCTCTCACGTGCATGAATATGACGGTGAGCGAATACATTCAAATAATGAAAAAGGCCGAGGAATAATTGTCCCGACTCGGGGCATCAGCGTAGTTGTTGTGTACTTTCTTTAATGTGACTTTCTTTAAGAATTCCGAGGTCCTTTAGATTTGGATGGAAGGGGAAGCGAGTCGACCAATTAGTTATATAAGATTCGCATCATATCTGGGACTATTGTATCGAGCGATACTTGTATCTCATCCATACGGCCGTGATGTTAGTATATGATCTACATCATTTATATCACTCTGTTCTCACACACACTCTCTCCTCACGTCCCCCCCGCGGATTACTGACAAAAGTGGATGGCTGCAACATTGATCGATCTACTTGCAGCGTGTAGATGCAGGAAGACAGAACCATACACTGTTGAGAACATCTCATGAGACATCTTTGTCAAGTGACGGGTAGTTACGCTAGTATTCCTAGCAAAGTATATTGTAGTCACATCTTGTTAATGTTGTACTAGCTCATGAATCATTACTTATCGATACTGATCCAGTGGGAGATCTCAACATACAAGTGCTATATACTGTTCCCGACCTGACGGATAGGCACTTTTATGTGCAATTCCAGTAAGACATATAGTGTTACTCTGTGTATCGCATGTCATTCTTCTATACTAATGAATAATGAATACAATTCCTACTCTCTAAGTGGTCTTACTGAAGGTGAACATATTGATCATGTAAGCATTACACTGGTCGCCTTGCATACCCAATTTGTGATAAAGGGATTGATAGTCTGATGAACTGAGGGAGCGCCTGAAGGATGCGAAATAGACTGATTAGTATCTTACGATCCATTGAACCCTAGTAAGACTGTTAAATAGAGATTGGACCAAAAACAGGAGATATCATTTGATGAATTTGTCGAAACCATGATTGTCAAGATAACACTGATAGTCTTTAACATCATGACTGACTATAAGGTTATTGGTAGTTACTGCAGCAGGCAGCCAGATAAACATGGTGAGAGATACGAAGTAGATGGATAAGAATAGATAGGCTACCATGAATCAGAAAGCTAAAGAAAAGTGCCAGGCAATAAAATAAGCCGTGAGAGGCAGGCGGTCAGCAGTGGCAGGTCGGGACCCTGTCAAAGGAACTGCTTATCCATGGTAGAGTGGATGATGTTGATTGGAAAAGAATTGGAGATGTGGCAAATCTGACTGCTTGAGCGTTGAATCCACCACACACTTACGTACACTGGAGTAGTGCCAGTGGCGTGATAAGTAGGGAAAGCAATCAGATCACAGCCCTGTCAATGGCGGGGTTTAACCAAGTGTTTTAAGTGACAGGGGTTCTTCCGCCACTGAGAGGTTATTCCGAGAACACGGACAGTGTGCAGTGCGTCTGTATGTGAAGATAGGGTGTTACAGTAGTAATCATCTAATGTAATCCAAAACAAGACATACAAAGTCGAAGATCTGATCGCAATGTTACTTTGTGTAGGAGGTGATGAACCCTGGAAATCGACGAGGGGCAGTGCAGTCAGAAAAGGCCTAAAGAAACTTGAACGAGGATGGATGGTTTGCGTGGCCCCCAAGCCACGTTCAAAGCCGACGGCGACCGGTGAGTGGCCCGCCGCCAATTAAGGTGCCTCCGCAAATTCCCCATCGGGTTCCAGTTTTGGGTTCAGGCCTTCATTCGAGACTCCCTTTTTTGCCTTCTGGCTCGCCTTCTCGACGGCTCTTCTTCTTCTGGTTCTGGTTCTTGTTCCTCTCCCACTTGAAGTTAGTCCCTTTCCCAAAAGAGCTTACCCTTTCCTCTTCCTCTTCCTCTTTTTTTTCGACGCTTCTATGCTCGACTCTGCTCTTGCATTTGCAGTCATTCTTTTCCCTGCTTGCATCCAGCCAGTCTTCAATTAAAATTAAAATCCGGCTGCAGTCAAGTGGCGGCGGCTCTATTGTTATTTCGGCCGTCTTACCGCTTCCGGCTGCCTCATTTCGTATTCGCTGCAGCTGAACAAAACAGAGTCAGGACAGCTGAACTTACTTGGTTGGTCTCTCTTTCTCTTTCTCTCGCCGCCTGCGGAAAAAGAAGTTCCTCTTGACGTCTTCCCATATCCTTGTTTCTTCTCTTCTCTCCGCGTGGCCTTTTCCCCTCCCCTCTTTACCCCCCCATCTCCCTCTCCACCCTCTTGTCCATTCTTGTTCCTTCTGTTAACTCGGTGGAACTCGCTCCCCACAGTCGTTTCCGCCTGTTTCACTTCCAGCCATCTGCCATCATCGTCTTGGCTCTCACTCCGGTTCACCTCCCTATCGCTCTGACGAACCTTCTCCTTTTCCAATCTACCTCTGCGCGAGTCGCTTGTACGATATCCATCGCTGGTTTTGCTTTCGGGGGGCTCTCATATGCTGGCATAAACGAGTCCGTTGTTTTTGGCTGGTTTTTGGGGATCGAAGAATGAGTCAGGCCTTTCGTCATACAGGAAATACCACTACGACCGATTCGCCCTTTGATTATTTACCTTCTGCCTCGAGATTCGAAGTGAATTGATAGAACCGCAAGGAGACGGTGATATTGTGGCACCCACATCACTGTGGACATTTGCGATCCCGCCATGTCCCAACATGATGATGTACCCGAGTCCAATCACGGTCCGCAGCAAAGCACGTCGGCGGAACATCCAACCGGAGGAAATGGCGGCTCGACTCCAGTACCGCAACTGCCACGGAGCCAGTCCTTGGATATAAACCGTGCTCGAGGTGGTGCAATCCCCGGCCGACCGTCCCTTTCGCCCTCTCGAACCGTGTCAGATGCTGGCCGAAGATCATCGCAACATCATGTCCGTTTTTCGACCGACTTGGAGCGTCCCGCCCCGGAGGAAGTACGAGGTTCAGACACCGACCGACGGCCCGCGTCTAGAGGGTTAACAATCAACACAAATCTCGCTCAGTTGCAGGTGCCTTCATCCGGCAGGTCCCCAGGACATAGCGCAACCTCACCTTTGTCGCCCAATTCGACATTGTCCCCTCCCTCCCCACAAAGTCCGGAATCCGGTGGTCGTTCGAGATCTCGTCATCGTGGGTATTCGCTGCGACGGACGATCTTCGCAAAAAATATTGAGTCGGCTGTTACGTCTCCGGTTGCAATCGAGCTGGGTCAAGCCCAGGCTGTTAGCCCACAGGAAGGCGCTTCTGCTGATGTTTCCGAGCGGAAATCGGAGGAGGTGCCGCGCCAGTCCACTGAAGATGAGAAGCAAGACGTTCTAGTAACGCAAAAGTCCGCATCCGATCCAAACCTGGATCTGTCGACGACGTATTACTCAGAGTCTTCAGATAACCCCAAAAACAGCAGGCACCTCTCCACAAGTGTCTCCTATGAAAAATGGCTCAAGCGGAGGGCTGTCGTTGCCACGCTGATGCTTCGTCTGGAGGACATGCTCGAGACGGCACGTAAAACCATCCTTCGTATCAAAGACATCCCGCCCAGCAAAGACGGTCGGCACATTGACCTTGACGCGACTCGCACCGAAGCCCTCGTCGATGAGAGAACCGGAAACCCTTATGTTGGAAACTCCATCCGTTCCAGTCGTTACAGCTTTTGGAGTTTCTTTCCCCGCCAACTGTTCGCGCAGTTTACGAAGCTGGCCAACTTCTATTTTCTTATTGTTGCGATCCTACAGATGATTCCTGGTCTGAGTACCACCGGTTCATTCACCACACTCGTGCCGCTGTTGATCTTCGTTGCTATTTCAATGGGCAAAGAAGGCTTCGATGATTGGCGTCGCTATCGCTTAGACAAGGAGGAAAATAACCGTTATGCGTTTGTCCTTCGCCCTGGTGCAGGCATTCCTCCTCAGATGTGCGCTAGCGACAGCATGTCCGTCTCAAGTGAGTCTCAGGACTGGGTCCCAGTGAAGTGGAGAGATATCAAAGTTGGAGACGTCATCCGATTGGAGCGTGATCAGCCTGTACCGGCAGATATGGTCCTGCTTCATGCTGACGGGCCCAACGGTATCGCTTATATCGAAACCATGGCTCTGGACGGCGAGACAAATCTAAAGAACAAACAGCCTGCTCAACCTATCGCAAAAGTCTGTGGGACAGTTGAGGGCATTTGTAGCAGCGCTTTGCATTTCGCAGTCGAGGACCCCAATATGGACCTTTACAAATTTGACGGAAATGTGACCATCGCCGCGGAAGAGAAACTTCCATTGACCAACAATGAGATCGTGTACCGCGGTAGTATTCTGCGCAATACCGAATGTGTGTATGGCATGGTCATCTATACCGGCGAGGAGTGTAAGATTCGGATGAACGCAAACAAGAACCCTCGCATCAAGTCGCCCTCTCTCCAGGCCAAGGTCAACCGGGTTGTTATGCTAATTGTGCTCCTTGTCGTTTGCTTGTCGGTAGGATGCACTCTCGCTTACAAGTTTTGGTTCCATCAGCAAGTCGAGCCCAAGGCATGGTATCTCACTCAGGCGAGTGTGGCCATCGGGCCTATCTTCACCTCCTTCCTGATCATGTTTAATACGATGATTCCCATCTCGCTATACGTGAGTATGGAAATTGTCAAGGTCGCGCAGATGCTTCTACTGAATTCCGATATCGATATGTATGACCCCGAGACTGACACTCCGATCGAAGCTCGCACGTCCACCATCAACGAGGAATTGGGCCAAGTCAGCTATGTGTTTTCGGATAAGACCGGTACCTTGACCAACAACTCAATGCGCTTCCGTAAGATGAGTGTTGCTGGCACTGCATGGTACCATGACTTTGATCTTGTCGAAGAGGCGGCCAAGGCCGGTGATCATACAAAGTTGATCCACAAGAAACGCCGCGCAAAAGGAAAGAAGGCGCTCAGCCGCAAGTCGAACGTTTCGGAGGCGCGGAGAGAGCCTCCCCGAACCTCGATGTCGATGACGAACGGCCTGGACGGACGTGGCGCCTCTATGCGCAACAACCGTACCACCGATATGATCAAGTATATTCAGCGCAAGCCTTACACCGTCTTTGCCCGCAAGGCCAAGATGTTCATCTTGGCCATGGCGTTGTGTCACACCTGTATCCCGGAAGATGACGAATTTGGCAATGTCTCGTTCCAGGCAGCATCGCCCGATGAGTTGGCCTTGGTTATGGCCGCTCAGGAGCTTGGCTACCTCGTTCGCGACCGGCAGCCGAACACACTTACCATCCGGACCTATCCCAACGGATCCGACGACAAGCCTTGTGATGAGGTGTATCAGATTATGGATGTTATCGAGTTTTCAAGCGCTCGCAAGCGAATGTCGGTTGTGGTGCGGATGCCTGACCAGCGCATTTGCGTGTTCTGCAAGGGCGCTGATAGCATTCTGATGCGATTGCTGAAACGTGCCGAGCTTGCACAGGAGAAGGCCGTGGAGATTGAGAGGCGCGCCAGCAAACGCAAGGCGGCCGAGGCTGCCCAGGTCGTGAGGCGCAACAGCGAGTATCACAGTCGCAAGGATAGCGGGCTTCGGACCAGCTTTGGCCGGCCTAGCATGGCCCGTCGGCGATCAAGTATAACCGGCGATCACGTATCGGCTCTAAGAGAAAGCATCGATGTTTGGCTGCGCGACCGGGAGACTGATGGTGGAATTTTGACGCGAGGGGACGATCCTGAGTATTATAGTCCTCGCCCCTCTGCCCAGTTGGGGCGCGCTTCGAGCACATGGTCGGACTCCGGCAGCTCCATTCACGAACATGAGGAGGAAGAGCTTGTAGAGGAGGCTTTGGTTGTAAACGAAGCTGCCGTGTTCGAGCGCTGCTTCCAGCATCTCAACGACTTTGCGACGGAGGGGTTGCGTACGCTCCTGTATGGGCACCGCTTCCTTGACGAAGCTGCCTACAACAACTGGAAGGCTGCCTATCACGAAGCCTCCACTAGCCTTGTCGACAGACAGGAGAAGATCGAACAGGTTGGTGAACAGATCGAGCAACAGCTCGAGTTGACTGGCGCAACGGCCATCGAAGACAAGCTGCAGAAGGGCGTTCCCGAGGCGATCGACAAGCTGCGACGTGCGAACATCAAGATGTGGATGCTGACTGGCGACAAGCGAGAGACCGCCATCAACATCGGTCACTCCTGCCGTCTGGTGAAGGACTACTCGACTCTTGTCATTCTGGATCATGAGACGGGAGAGGTCGAGCAGTCAATTGTAAAATTGACGGCCGACATCACCAAGGGCGGCGTGGCTCATTCTGTTGTTGTAGTTGATGGGCAGACACTATCCATAATCGAGTCAGACCAAATCCTGGCGGCACAGTTTTTCAGGCTGGCCGTGCTAGTTGATTCGGTTATCTGCTGCCGTGCCAGTCCTAAGCAGAAAGCCTTCCTGGTCAAGTCGATCCGTCAACAAGTCAAGGGTAGCGTGACGCTGGCGATTGGTGATGGTGCGAACGATATTGCCATGATCCAGGAAGCTCACGTTGGCATCGGCATTACTGGTAAGGAAGGATTGCAGGCGGCCCGAATCTCGGACTATTCGATTGCTCAGTTCAGGTTCCTGCTGAAGCTGCTTCTTGTCCACGGCCGGTGGAACTATATCCGGGCGTGCAAGTACACACTCGGGACATTCTGGAAGGAAATGCTGTTCTACCTGACGCAGGCTCTGTACCAGCGCTGGAACGGGTACACTGGCACCAGTATTTATGAGTCATGGAGTTTGAGTATGTTCAACACTCTCTTCACGTCTCTGGCCGTCATCTTCCTCGGCATCTTCACCAAAGACCTCTCTGCCTCCACCCTCCTAGCTGTTCCAGAGTTGTATACCAAAGGGCAGCGCAACGGCGGGTTCAACATTCGGCTGTATCTAGGCTGGACGTTCATGGCTGCATGCGAGGCCATGATGATTTATTTCTGCATGTTTGGGCTGTTTGAAAATGTCATGTTCACGCACACAGGCAGCGACATCTTTTCAGCCGGTCTGCTCTCATTCACGGCCTGTGTTATCGTCATCAACACCAAGCTACAGGCCCTCGAGGTGCACAACAAGACGTATCTGTGCTTGGTTGTGTGGATCATTTCCGTTGGTGGTTGGTTCTGTTGGAACTTGATCCTCGATCGCCGGTACAATCCCAGCTCTGGTGACGGGATCTACCATGTTCTGGGCAACTTTGTCTATGCATCGGGCCACGACCTCGCTTTTTGGGCAGCTCTGCTCGTCACCGTCATCGCAGTTATCGTGTTCGAAATGACCGTGAGTTCCGTCCGGGCGCTCTTTTTCCCCACGGATGTGGACGTTTTCCAGGAATACGAGCAGGACTTGGACATTCGAAGACGGTTTGAGGAAGCCGCAGCATCTGAGCTGCAACAAGGCTGGGATCACGGCAAGAAGAAATCCAGCTTTGAGCTGGCTCGCGAGGAAGAGATGGAAGTGCGCGAGCAACAGGTTCGGGAACTTCTTGCCCGGCCAAGAGTGATGGTGAACGGCACCAAGACAGGCTCTGGTCCTGTTGAGATGGAAGACGTTGAACTGGGCGGATACGGAACCAGCACTCCTCCGGAGGGTGAAGAGGTGCCCAAGACCCCACGCCGGTCAGTCGAGGTTCATGAGTTGTTTACGAAGGGATTTGGGGCCATCCGAAAGGGGCATTTAAAGTGAATGATGATGAAAGAAAACAAAAAAGTATTTCTTCGTGTCTGTTTGTTGTATGAGTGCCTTCACTCCTTTGATTTGTGAGCGTTCAGGCGTTTAGAGTGGATACCCCGGATAAGTTCTAGTCACTCCTTCTCTGTTATTTTTCTGATCAGTGTGTATACTGGTTGTATATATGCATGGAAAGCAAATAGATTATGAACGTGGACAAACGCGCAACGTTTACATGGAGCAGTGAAACAGATGAAAAGAAAGAGCATTGTTTGTAAGAAGTAGGCTAAGCTTGACAGCTCCGGAGCACCCGGAAGCGAGGATGAGGGGCGCTCCAGTTTCCCCTGAGTGGATCCCTCAATCTCCCCGGGTATATCGGATTTAGCACTCCGGGGAGTGCATAGGTTGAGTTGGAATAGTAATGCAGTGAAGGGGGTTCATAAGCTGCATAGTTAATTGATCCTCCGACATACTGTCAGTCAGCAGTCATGATGAAGTGACCAATAGTTCCTGTGTTAGGGTGTGCTGTTTGATGAGTATCCTTGTATGTGATTAACTACTTAATATTCAGACAGAGAAGCCTACATTCCATGATTTAAGAGATGCTTGTAGTAGCCATAGGTCGATGGTTTAAAGTACTAGAAGGGTAAAGTGTAGGCAACTACATCGACATACGCGGATGCTTTTATCATACTATGGGATTTTACCGATTGTTGGTGACACCTAGATACTAGGGCACTTATCTACTATAACAGCTACCATCCATCACTTGAAATGAACAGTTCATGGCAATATATATCACTAGATATGAATGCTTGTCCATAATATAACCCTATACCATCAGGCCAGTCACAGATTAACCTACTAACCTTAACGCACCTATCCACGTCCCGTGAGATGCCCTACGATGAATCACTCTCTACGCGAGAGTCAGTTACAACACACTCATCAACATGGCAATTCCCTATTCCAAAGCCCTTGGTATTTCCCATAAATGCAATACCCTCACACTAGGAAACTACCATGCCAATTCATCAAAGAGCATACGTACTACTATATAGCCACTAAAGCATGCCTACCTTTCCTCTTACTCTGCGCTATACAACCCTCACCACCATCACTATCCCCATCTAATACATTTCAGTTAATACGTCCTCCCCAATGGACCTCTCCCACCCTCTACCAACCCCCTATCCCAAAAAATCCCTCTACGACCCTCCCATCCGCATCCTCGTCGACACCCGCATCCACCTCCTCCCAGGAGACACCAACGAAGACCGCAACACCTTCCTCATCAACCACATCTGCCACCTACACTGGCACACCGAATTCATCCCCTCCAAGCACCGCCGCTACGCCTTCAGCACTGAGCGTTTTCCCATCGAGTCCACCCGCTGTCTGTTCCTGGTTGATTACGGCCAGACTGCAAGCAAGGAAGAGGATGAGGATGTTCCTGTGGTTTATTATAAGTGGACGGGGGAGTTTTTGTAAGATATACACTTTAACTATACCTATACCTATACCTATTCAGTAATCAATTTTTGATTCTAGTAGGTAGTAGGTTGGGTGGATGATTTGCTGATTCATGACTGTGGTATAGGACCCCCCTACCCATCCTATCTTACGAAGCCTGGATCAAGAATAAACTCAAATACGTGTATCCGTTTACGCCTGCGCCGAACTGGCAGAATGGCGTTAATCGGGAGCGAGAGCGAGAGATGCTTTTGTCCAAGGTGTTGTGGGCGAGTAGTAGTGATGGGGCCACGGATGATGATTTGAGGGCTTTGAGGGATAATGAGGAGGATTGGGCCTGGTTGAGGGCGAGTTTGGATCCGGATGTTTTTGGTGGGTTTTTGTATGAGGCGAGGAGGAGGATTTATTAGGATTTTTTGTGGTTGGCTTGGATGGTTTGGGTGGTTGGATGCGTTTCGATGTGTTTTTGGAAAAGTACTGCGCAGATGTCTGTTTTGGGGGTTAAATTTTGCTAGATCTTGACGTTTCTTGTGAGAAATTGAACTTAATCATAAGGCAGCAGGAGATAATGGAGCCAGTAATATGTTGGGGTCGATTTTGAGAGTATTTGCCCGGAAGAAATATCAAAGAAGATACAGTCATGTCACTTGTGGTCATATTGCAAGGCGCTTTATTACAGTTAAAAACAAGGTAGTACATATAGCGTTTTTATACTACACTATATAGGTTAATGGTTCGTTCAATACAGTTTCTGTCATATCATCCCATCTAGGCAAGCACGGGCCTGGGATCCTGCCACTTCCGTCACTGTCACCCCTCCTGTTCCACTGAAGATTAACAAACACTGACTCCAGCAGCTAGTAGAGCATCCTTCAAATATCAAACAAATAATGACTGGGTATCATATATACTTTACAGGCTCCCTTCAATGTGTCCCTCCAGCTTACACATACTTATGTCATCAGTAATAAGACTCTCAATCACGACTCGCATCTCGCTCCAACATTATTCTCTCGACCGTATCCCAACTGATGCCTGGATCACCCCTGCAGCTCATACGCAGGTGGCCGCTTCTCTGTGGCCGGTAGCTCCACTAGAGGACGTTGCTGGACAGGAACGAAAGGCTGTGGTGGGATCTGAGCCTTTCTACGTCGCCGTGAGAGATAGTATGCGCCTAGGAGAATGCCTGCTAGAGCTGCGACTCCGACTCCGACTCCAACGCCAATACCAACAGTGTTTATATGCGATGTTTGACTTTCGGGTTCCAAAGAAGATGATGCTGATGCGGTGGTGGAAGTAGATGACAAGGAGGTGGTCGACGTTTCACTTGCCGTGCCTGTCGCAGTACCTGTTGCCGTGCTGGTTGCCGTGCTGGTCGCATCTGCTGTCGAAGTAGTACTCGCAGGACGGACATAAAAGTCTGGACTCCAGGCTTGCCAGCCAAACAAAGCATTCCCATCCGCACCAAGAAGAACAGATGCGTTGAAAAGCCCGATCTGATACTCTGGATTGGTCGTATTGAAGTCTTGCGGAATTGCCCAGCTGTACTCTTCCAGTGTACAGTTCGCAGTTTCGTTGACGACAAGTTGATAGAGAGCACTCGTTTCGGTGAACTGGGCGCCAACTAAATCAATCACAGGAGTCAGTTTCTGTTAGTTGAGCTTGCAAACCCCAAGCTACGCACCAATGATCGGGTCAACGATGTATCCTCCAGCCCGCCCTAGGGTGATATTCAGCGGAGTTTCCCCGTCGTCGATCGCTCCCCACTGCAGGTTGAGTGTGTCTCCAGGGTTAAATTCGGTTTTCGTGAAACCGTAGAATGTCCCGGAGACACAGTTCTCATAGCCATAGGTGGACATTATGAGAGCCCACAGCGGGATTCTGATCAGGTCAAACACTGGATTTAGGGCTCAGTGAGCAGGGGAAGGGAAAGCGGGAGGGTACTCTGCTCATAAGACCAGAAGATCAACCCCCGTGCGGGCGGAGTCGGACACTTCTTCGAACCATCGCTATTCAATTTGGCGCCGTGTATAGACCGGTGCCGGACTAATGCAGGCGTTAGAGCGATTTTTCTCATCGGCGAATTAAACGCCTCAGATTTAAGTAACAGCCCCTGGTCTGCGTGACGTGGACTTCATATGTGCAATCAGCCTTGCACACCCAGGAGAGGCGCTTGCTGGCCTAACCGCATGGCCAGTCCCTGCCTTTCTCTACACGCCGTGGGTCCTTTTAATTACTCTTGTGGATAAAAATTACTTTAGCTCCATATTGAGGATAATCTTTGCCGTGTTAAAAGATTGTGATACGCTCATATTGCTACGTTGTTCGGTTCAAATTGGAGTCCGTTCTGCGACGGTCCGTTGCGTTAAGCGCCAGTTGGTTTAGAGTGCGGAACTTGGAGCGTTAGTGCCACACAGCTAATATGAATCTTCTACCACCCAATCATCAGATATATTTAGCGCCAGGATCCTCGTGCTGCCGCTTTTACTTATTATGGGCATAGCTCAGCCGCTGGTTACTGGGCTGGCCAAATTCACCTCCGCACTGCGACACAGCTTTATCATTCACACCGTGCCGTACCACCTAGCATCCTACAACGCGACACTCTCCCACATATTAGACGGCAGCTGAGACATGACTCATAGAGAGAATTAGAAGCACACGAATATGGCAGCGTTCCGAGCCCAACTCCGGCGACGGAGCATGTTAATCACCCTTGGGCTGGTAGCCATCTTCATCTGGACGCTCGCATCCTGTCGGTCGCAGAACACCACGACGTCTACCAGCCATGAACAGTTCTGGACTGAGTTTCATCCCATGCTGGTGGCCTCAGAGCCCTACGCCAATTCTCCTACGAGGATCAGAAACGCCGAGTCTGAGGGCTTCGACCCGAAAAACACAGATCCGCTGCCTGACTTACTTCGCCTGTCCAAAGAGGATGTCTCCGCGATGAGAATAGCACACAGCAAATTCCTCGATATGCTTAAGCAGACCCCACCAAAACTACACTACCAAGCTCACACTCGTGGCCTCGTCTCAACAGCTGGCGGCTCTTACCTCCCTGTCCTCGTTATCTCCCTACGGATGCTTCGCCAGAGTGGCTCAAACCTTCCGATGGAAGTCTTCCTCGCTAGCTGGGACGAGTATGATGGCTATGTCTGTCAGGTCGTTCTTCCCTCCCTCAATGCGCAATGTGTCGTTCTGTCTGAGATCCTTGATGCCGTTACCGACAGCAAGGCCTCCATCGAGAAATATCAATACAAAGTCTTTGCCATGATGTTCTCCTCATTCGAGGAGATCCTGTTCCTAGACGCAGATGCATTTGCTCTTCAGGACCCGGAAGTGTTATTCAGATCCGAACCCTTTATCTCAAAAGGTCTAGTCACCTGGCCGGACTTCTGGCGGCCGACAACGTCACCGCTATACTACGAGATTGTGACACAAGATAAAACGGCCGGGAAGAACAAAGAGCAACAAAACCAACAACAACAAAATCCCGCTACGATTCGCCAATCCACCGAGTCTGGAGAACTGCTCCTCTCCAAGCGAACGCATACCCGGACCCTTCTGCTCGCAGCATACTACAACTTCTACGGCCCAAGCCACTACTACCCTCTTCTTTCGCAAGGCGCCGCCGGGGAAGGCGACAAAGAGACCTTCGTTGCAGCAGCAATCGCCCTTAACGAGCCCTTCTATCAAGTCAGCGAGCCAATTCGCGCTGTTGGTAGGGGAACGCCCGATGGCTTTGCAGGGTCCACCATGGTCCAGTACAATCCGATAGAAGATTATGCCTTGACCAAGAAAGGCGAGTGGCGCATTCGGGGCGCATCCGTACCACCCCCACATCCATTCTTTGTCCACGTCAACTTTCCCAAGTTCAATCCAGCTACGGTGTTCAATGATAACGGGCCTGTCGTTGATGAGCGAGGGAGGTATACGCGGGCGTGGACGGCACCGGACGATGTGGTGGAGGCTTTTGGAGGAATAAAGACGGAGAAAGCATACTGGAAAGAGATTCTTTGGACGGCGTGTGCTCTAGAGGGTAAGAGTATTAGTTGGAAGGGAAGGGATGATATATGTTCCAAGACGACAGATTACTGGAGTACGATCTTCGAGAAATCAGAGGGGTTAGACCTTGCTTAGGCCTTTTGTGGGAATCTTTGTTCATAGGATGGATATCCATGGGATCTTGTGCTGGTTACAAGAGATGGATGTGTTGTATATATCTTGGGGATATGTTTGGTTTTCTATAATTGATGATTCATAACGTCACTAATGTGGACATGTTCCATAATCTGCCTCGATTTACCAATTTCGGCGTAAATCTATTAGATGTGGTATCATAGATAGTGCTACCGAGCACTATTACTGACACTTTTAACCAGCATATAATGGTTACACATTAGAGAAAGTACCGGTCCGTCTTGACAAGAAGATAAAATCACGGGCCCGCTATCGTCAATTTTACTGTCTATACATTTCATCATTCGGTTGCTGAGACTACTAAGTAAGCTTATAAATTAATTGACTGACCAGCTGGTTTCTGAAATAGTACCATGTACTATGTCACGGCATGCATTCCACTGATATGTAAGTACCAAGGAATACTACACACTACATGAAATTAGTTACTTATATTGTTTAGCAAGCGAAAAGAAAGGAAGCGGTAGTACAAAAAATTCCAGCGCTCCGTCTCCCCAGAGACACAAGCCATGCTAAATATGAATAGGGATATTGGATCTTTAATGCTGGCCATCAGCCACTGGGTGTATGTATGAATGCTCGGTGAGCGGTACAAGCAACATAATGATATGGTACGTTGGGCAAGTCTGACTGATATACCTACATTATGCGCATTCAGGGAGATGTAAAACTCTGATTTGGATAATGTTGTGTTTTGTCTACAACCGTCAAGCGTAATTGTTTATTCGGATAATATAGGCTCTCTATATATTTATATATATATGGTGGTTGGGCGGTGGTTTGGTAGTAGTGTAGTAGTAGTGATCATAGTTCCAAATAATAGTAGTACCCTTCTATGGGCATCATCTTGATAAAAGTTTTTCCTACTCCATATCCATATGAAGTATAGTAGACTCAACTTCCATGGCTACCATGACCACTTTTACAAGAAATGGGAATTTTAAAATCAATTGGATGTACACACAGTGCTGGAGAGGGAAAATATGTTACTTGTATTGGCTCAGAAAGATATTGTAGAATATACTAGTACTTCTTTTATATATATCGTCGTTCTTTGCTGTCTCTATACCGAGTATAGAAAGAATTATATACATCCCAGTTAGTACCTATATACAAAAACCACCCAAGGTGTAGAATAACAGATAGCATTATAATCTATACTAGAGTTTGCATGAAGGGCATGCTGCCTATATCTGGTTAGATAGAAACTGAAAGTGCTAGCATAGGCTAGAAATGAGGGGTGAATTTTACTTCTATTCGCTGTTAGTAACTCAGTGAGAAAACCTTGTCTGCATTATGTTCTGAGGATAACAGGAATAATATGTGGTTAGCTGGCGTATGGAAGTTACCTTTGTGAAGCATTTTTCTTTCACGGACATGATCAATTTACTGTAGAAAGGCTACTGCTTCTGTATAGTACTAGCCCTTCCATCAATATTCGCTCCAAGTGCGGTAACCACAAATTATGACTTGTAATTTGTTCAAGAAGGATCATCCTGGGTGCCTAGGAGATTAGACACAATGACAGGAGCTCAATTGATGATCTCGTTAGTATATACTTACGTGTATATCTGGCAGCTGACATTCCTCAACCTACTCAATAGATTACCCTATCATCCTATTCATATAGAGCAAGATTGAAAAGTACCTTCATATTTCAATCCCAACCGATCCTTGTTCATTACAAACCACTGTACTTATTCCAATTCCGTATAAACCCACTCATAGCTACGAAGTCCTTTTCATCCTTCAATTTCAGCAGCAGTAGTAGTAGAAATTACCCTCTACGCGTACGTCATACCAGCCATGCACGTCAGGAATGGGCATGTCAGTAGTAAAAGCTACGAGTAGAGTAGATCTAAGCTTCAGCATTCCTCCGCCGTTACAGAATCCCATCAAACATCGACTGATCGACTCTATACCTACCTGACTCATCACCTTAAAATTGTCGGGCTGACATACCAGCCCAGCGAAATTATCCGCGCCAATCAAGGACAAGTTTTCACAGATGTCCGGATTTAGTAGTTAGTAGACGTTGTCGCATGCGGACATGAAACAACTTGATGGGAGGTTTGATAAGTCCTGTCCCCTTCACGCCCCCGTTTCTCCCCCGTTTCCTCCCCATCATATACGGGAGGAATGCGGGCTGACCGTTAACGGAAAGGGGGAGAAAGGGAGGGAGGGAGGGGCCGAACCGAGGAGAATGGACGGTCAGGTCAGTCAGCGACTTCGGTCGGTCAGCTAGTCATTTAGTTAATTAGATCCTTGACTAGCTAGTCAGGTATGTGAGTGATTATGAAGATGCCCGTGCGTGATGGGGGTGGAAAGCAAACATGTAATTTTAAGCCTCTCTTTTTTTTCTGCCCGGTTTGGAGAGGGGCACACCACTAGGTTAGGTATGGGTCGGCGGCTGTTGGACCAACATGTCGCTTACTGGATTGGTAAGGGTAGAGTTGTGTGTGTGTATACCCTGCGGGGCTCGGGGACTGAACGCTGAATGCTAGATTAGGAAGAGAGGATACTACTACTCCGTAGTCCCCGAGACACCATGGAAAGGGAAACCACCACGCACTCTTGCTCCGTGCTTTTAGGCAACAGATCCCGGGAAGCGAAAAGCAGCACTAGGGGAACTCGGGAGTGGGAGTGGGATGCGCTTTTCACGGCGCGCCGGATCCGACGTGGCCGGTTAGATAGGTAGACTGGATGCTATTCACGGGTGTACTTAAGTAGACACTATTGGAAACCAAATGGGGCAGATCTAGTCGGAGATCGTTGTAGGCTGACTGAGTGACGGAGTATTCCGTCGCCGGAGAAAGGACAAAAAGAGGAGTCAGAGAGTCATGACCTTGCAGTGGAATTCGGTGCGAGGCATTTGGTCGTACGATGGATCCAAAAGTGATAAACATATGTGATGACCAAAGCGCATGCGCTGGGGGAGTTATTCGGTCGGAAATGTATCAACCACCCCCGGCAAATCCGATGCAGCAACAGACATAACTAACTACGCAGTGTATTGTGATGCAGGTCAGTGACTTGGCTGGCTACCTACCCCTATCAGTGGCTCTGGGAAGTGCTTTAGTGTAGGATGGATGCTTGTTTAGCGTCGGCGGTAAGTCTCGACTCAGTCGGATACTTGCCTAGTTAGGCAAGGCGTGGGCGTGCCTGGCTCTCGGACGGTCGGAAAACGGCACTCCATCGCCATTCGGCCTATCATTGCTGTGGCTGAGTTGGGTTGGACCAATGGCAAGGATGATATGCACGGATCATCCGCGGGTCTGTCCTGGTCTTTTCCCGGTCGGGTCTAGACGAGGTTGCACAACTGGCAGTAAGTAGTCTAGCACAAGCAGGTACCTCGCCCATTCTGAGGCAGGAGTTAGGTACGAGGGAAGTACGCTGTGTGTACCTGCATATACGGTATCCAGTCGATCAGTGTGGTAAGATGGAAAAAAGAAATTATACTCCGTATTCAACCTCCAGATGCATGCTTGTTTCCCTCTCTCTTTTTCTCTCGGCTTTCACTATCCCCGGATTTGTCTTGCCCTACCGTATTAATAGCACCCGTTCATGTGTTCGTAGGAAGGTGCCAGCGATTAATTAATTTATAAATTAATAGATTCGGCGATAGAATCCAGATGGAAGACTAGCCCCCGACTAACCGCCTCAGTAGTCTGTAGTCTGTACAAGTCAGCACGAGTGCCGAACAACGCTTCTCCACCCACCCCCCCTAGCGCTGTCATCCGCAGTGGTCCAATCAGGGCTTATGTGATGGCGAGAGGGGCGGGTACCTGGACCGAATCGCCAGGGATAATGGTGGAAGTGGTCGGCACGGGCGGAGTGCAGCGCCAAAGATCAGTGAGTGATTTGCGCTGAACGACAGAAATATGGGTAGAAAAGCGAGGGGGATCAAAGTAAATACGGAAGAAAATCGAGGCCAAAGGATATTAATAGAAACCCAGCACGTCGACAGCTCCGGGATTACGGTTGTACCTGAGAGGGCGCAAGAGTGGGAGGCCACTCATACGGCTGGCCAGAAAGGCAAAATGAGGTCAGTCACCTGCTGGAAGCGGTAAAGTCCCTGATCCTCTTTCTGTGGACAATGGCCGGAGAGGCCCGAACTGCCCTTACCAAGTCTCCCACCACGCCAACCTCTTCCCACTCGCTCCCTGAATTGTGCGGTTCGCCATCCATGGTTCCAATCCTGAAGCTGTTATGGGTAAAGCAATCAGTTAGTCAGGACTCAGAAGTGTCCCCTTTCCCACCCATGGTGATGCGGTGCCCGGTGACGGAACCACGGCCCTGGTTCTGCGGTTCGATTCAGGAACCGGGTCGAGTGGCAGGTCGCTTCTTGGGGTAGGTTTCTTGGCTCCGCCTCTTTTTTGTCCTCTTTTCTTTTTTACTCCCCTCTTCCCTTCCCATGAAATTTTTTTACTTCTTTTCGCTTTGCTTTCCGGTCCTGATTCGGCAAAATTATGAGGTCACTCCACCACCTGAAACCCTTTTGTAGCTTGTCAATCGTCGGGCGCTTATGCGATCCCGTCCGGGCTTTGGAACGGTCCAGGTCACGTTGTGTCTGGTTCGCTACCCCTGGTTGTATCCGTAGTCCGATCGCTCGGTGGGTTCGCCTGCACGATGTTTCTGGAGGCATGGAGGTAGACAATACATGACTTAGTTGCCGGTCCCTACATAATTGCATCTAGAAATGAATGGGATCGAGAGCATGGTAGCTATTTATGGCTATAGATGGTGGAAGGGGATGGTCGTTGCCTTGCTTAGGCACACGGTTCCGAGTTTCCTATGCTGGGTATCTTCTGCTGGAGCGACGCAAAGAGACTGACTGACTGGGGAGGGGAAAAGTACGAGCATAACCTAAACCATCCTGAGGTCGCAGTCTTCAACGTCCACATCCATGCAGAAAGGCACGGATGAGAATGCTTATTGGATGGCTGGAATCCCAAACAACAACGTCGGGCAGCAGGTGCAGATGCCGCGACTGGAAGCAGGGGCTAAAACAAGGCGGTGGGTGTGGGTGGAGGGCGGTGGTGGTCTTGTAACATTCTGGTCCTGCTTCAAGCCATGTGAAATTCTGTAACAACCCAGATGTTTTATCCCCTCCGGATGGAGTAGTCGCAGCAGCATATCGTGACCATAACAATCTCATTTCGATCAACAATGTCTAGATCATGGGAGAATAAATACTCAAAGGATTTGGTAGATCCTGAGAGATGTGAATAAGAGGACAGAAAAAAGAGGATTGACTTTCAATGCCCCGAGTGAACTGAGCTACGGTGATTACTTACTCCTTGACTCACAGCTACTTACTAGTTACTTGGAGCTGCCTCGCCAAAAAAATTTCTATACCAGGAAAATAAATCGACCATTAATAATAAAAGAAACAAATAATCCGAAAAGGAAATAATAGGAAAACGGAAAAGGGAATTAAAGGGCAGAAAAAAAATAAAAAGGAAAAAAAGAGAGGCGGCCAGCCCCACGGAGAAAGTCAGGAACAGCCGGTGCCAAAACAGTCCAGCGCCAACTACTGAACCCGCTAACCACTTTGGGCCCTCCCCCATCCCATCTCCTGACCGTCGCGCTCGCTCGCTTTCTCCTCTGCCTCCTCCACCCGTTTGTCTCTTCTTCTTCCCTTCTTCTTCTTTCCTCCCTTTCCCTTCCTTCCCACCGACCATCTTCGCATCTTTCTTTCCTTTCCCATTCACTCTTTTTTGTGTTTTTCACCCCTTCCATTCTTTCTTTCAACTACATTCGCTCGCTTCAGTCGATCGTTTCACTCTTTCACGATCTATTTCTCAATCTAGCTGCATCTTCGCTTACCTCAGGGCCGCCCATTGACGCAGACCTTCGCCATTACCAAACACCGGCCCCCCTCCGAATCTGTACCGATCTACTTTTGATATCTCAATCTCACGTACAGCCTCCCCCATTACGGTTGCGAAGAGCAAGGATCATATTTCCCTTCCAAGCTGCCTAGGTCAGCTGTTTATATTATTCCCACGACATTTGATTGCCCTCTCATCCCGACGCTTCTGCGACGCGCTCATCTTCTCTCTTGCGCTTTGCTTCATCGGAACTCTCGACTCTCGACGGGTTTCCAGCCAAAGCGCTTCCATTCGTTTGACATTATCCGCATACTCTGGCGCTTGACGCTGCTTCAGAGATCCGGAAACTCCCCTCCCCAATCCTCCTTGACTGTCGGCCGGATCGTCACACCACCCATACTCCTTTTCCTACCACGGAATCTCCTTTCCACGAACTTGGTCGTATCGCATTTCCTACCTTTCAACTTCACTCAATCCCTGCAAACATGTCCTCGACAGACACTCCTGACCCCTCGACTACGTCGAACTCTTCCTCCAACACCGCTTCTACCATGACTTCGTCTTCGTCGACTACCTCGAGCCCGTCCCCGGCCATGTCCAACTCTACCACGGCCGCCTCCGCTTCGGCACGTCGACCTCAGCGGAAGAGCACGCTGACCCAGCAGCAGAAGAACAACAAGCGCCAACGGGCGACTCAGGATCAACTGGTCACCCTCGAATTGGAATTTAACAAGAACCCGACTCCCACGGCAGCCACGCGCGAAAGAATCGCCCAAGAAATCAATATGACTGAGCGGTCCGTCCAGATCTGGTTCCAAAACAGGTTTGTGATCCTTACTATTATTCCTTACCTGCTGCTAACTGAATTTGTAGACGCGCAAAAATAAAGATGCTTGCTAAGAAGAGCATCGAAACGGGCGAAGGCTGTGATTCTATTCCCGAGTCGATGCGCCAGTACCTGGCCATGCAATTCGACCCCACCAAGCCCGGTGCAAGGGACCCCTTTGGGCGCACGGGAGGATACGGAACCGGTGGTGTTTATCCCCATGAGTCGGCTCCTTCTGGCAAAGTTGGTACGTTTGAGTCTGCTATTGCTATTTTGCGATGAATACTGACGATCACAGTTATTCATCACTTCACCTGTCGTTCCTTGACTATCGGTAGCTGGCGACGTATCGGACAGAACGCGATGGATCTGGTGGTTTTCTATTCCCCTGAGAAGGCCTGCATGACATACTACATCAACAATGATTCTGCTGGATACAAGATTGAGTATCCGTTTGCCTACATCAAGAACATCACACTGGAGTCGGGCGACCAGACTCCTCAGGCGAACGGTGCTCCCCCGCGACCTGGCGGTCTTGTCGTTGAGCTGAACCGCCCCCCGCTGTTCTACATGGACTCCTCCAACTCTGGCGGATTCTACCAGTGTGGTGACTTCACCGAGGATCAGCAGGCAAGCCAAATCCTGGTCCACCATCTTGGGGGACATCCCAAGGTTCTCAGCGTGCAACTTGCCAAGCTAGTGTCCCTGGAGTCCTTCCAGAACCGTCTTGCGTACAACAACTTTGCCATGAACCCGCCCATGTCCCCTCCGTTTATCCAGCGTCCTGCATCGCAGCCGAACCAATTTGCTCCGGCCTTCTTGAACGTGTTTCCCGAGAGCCATGCTCACCTGAACATTCCCGCGATGCGCGGACACAAGCGCCAGAGAAGTCGCTCGGTTCCGGTAGCTGTCGACTTCTCTGCCATGCAGGCTCCTCTTGCCCACTACAACATGCCCCAGACTCCGGCTCAGTTCAACCATGCGGATACGGGTATCTTTGCTCCCGTTCCCCAGTCGACTCATCCTTTGGCTGTCAACCTTCGGATAGATACCTCTGCCTCCTATGGGTTCGACCCGCGGACACACCCCATGTCTGCTACCACGACAGCTTCCCCATCAGACTTTGCCAGCCCTGGGCTTTTCAGTACTGGAGCCGGCGGTGACTCAACTCCTGTTGCTACCAACATGGGGACCCCCTTCAACCTTCCCTTCGTCTCGCCCGCTGTTGACTCAACTGTGGCGTCCCAAGCATCTTATTCTAACGTCAGTCATGCCGATCCTATGATTGCGAACCATTCTCCTCCATTGTCGAACATCTCGCACGCTCCCCAAGATATGTACGGTCTTGGTAACGAACATCAGCCCAACTACACGGATGATGGCATGTCCATGAATGGGATTTATCCCAAGCATAACATGAACTTTGCTGTTCCGGCTTCTATGGGTCTTGAGACCAACACATACGATCTACCCATGCAGCCCATGTCCGGCCATACATCCCCTGGGGTCCATGGCGATTTCCAGAGCCTGAGCCTGGAGAACGTTGATCCCAACGGTATGGCCCCTGGCTCCTGAAGCCGGAACATGCTGTGAGCCGTATGGCGTTGGCTGTCTTCGGCCATCGGCTTAGCCATATCTCTATCTACCCTTGGGTAGCACTGCACATTGGCGCGGATCTTCAAATCTCCGCATCTTCAGTGTTTCGAATTTTCCTGGCCACTGGTCTCGAGTACCTCCACTCGGACTGATGAGATACCCAGACATCCGCGTGATGTATGGCCAATCGACGATGATGGGAGGATGTATCCTTTCTTGATTATGTTCTCAGCGTCTTCTGTATTAATAACCTTCTCCGGGGCTGGTCCTGAGCGTTCATTCGCATTTCTCATATCCCAGCAGGCTAGCTGGGCTTTTCATCTTCTTCTCTGCCCTGACCATTTTTCTTTTCATTTTGTTTATACCTGGTCAGGGTTTAACGTGGTTATGCCAGAAAGTCAGACAGATGGCGACATTCGGTTATTTTCTTGGATTCTTCTGGGTTGGCGGGTTAGGAATTGTTTGCTCATTTCCCTTTGTGATGGTTATTTATCGTCCTGAGATTGGCGTCTGCATATTTTGCTTGAAGCAATCCTGTCATGTAGCACATTGATAATGGTGCCACTATCGAGGCGGAGCTGAGACAATCTCCGTCCGGATGGTGCGCATGGCTGATATGGAGACATTTCTCAGGTCCAACCTGAACCATGAAACACCACCAACTGCCCCACGCGCTACTCGTAGCGAATACATTCATAAAACAGTAGAGTGTCAATCCATCGACTCGCACATAGTAACAGTAGTATACAGGGGTATCGTATCTAAATCAACCACATAAACCAACCAAAAACTCCCTATTGACCCTCCCATCCCTTCGGCACCGGCGCCTTCAACCCCCTCGATTCCCTCAAATACTTCTCAACCCAAACCTCCATCTTCTCCAACAAATTCATCTCCCTGCCCCCTTCAGTCACACCATCCCGACACCAAACACTCCACGACCCCATCTCCACCGCCATCAACACATCCGTCCCCAACCGATCCCCCACCACCGCAATCTCATCCGCGCGACTCACCACCCCCCTCTCCTGGAACCACTCCAACACCTCCCTCCCACAAAACGGCTTCTTCTCGCTCCCTTCGGGAAGCCGAAACACGGGAATCCGCAACTCCCCCAGCTCCTTCTCCAGCTCGCGCACCTCGGCATCATACCGCGGGTGACTCCCCGCGCGGTTCGAGACGATCAGGATTGAGTTATCTGCCGTGAAGGGGGACGTTGGGGAGGTGCGTAGCGCGTGCAGCTTTTTTAGGATCTCGGATGGGAAAGAGGTGGTTTTCGGATGACAGAGTGTGTTGTCTTTGTCCAGGACGAGGGCCCGGATGGCCGGGGGTTTTTGGGCGTTGGGGTGGACTGCTGGGCCGAGGTTTTCGGGTAGGTGGGTGATTGTTGGGATGGTTAGGTGGGGGAGGAAGTTCGAGGGGGTTTTTAGGAGGGTTGAGACTGCGAGGTTGAAGGCGCGGAGGTTGCTGTTGGGGGGTTGCATGTTGGGTTTGGGTGTAGGATTTGAGAGGTGGTGGTGGTGGTTGTAGGTTGTAGATGGTGTTGTTTAGTGGGGTATGGTTTTAGTAGTGTAGTGGTTCGTAGATCTTAATGCATAGTAGATCTAGATCTATTGCTTGAGGGGTGGGAAGTGAGGAGGAATTGGTGCTCAATGTGTATCAGATATATTGCTGGAATGGAAGCAATAATGGATGATAGGAAGGATAATAT